TCTTTAAAACTGAATTTTGTTTGGTAGCACGATCAAGTGGGGGAAAAAAAAATGAATACCTGTTTGTGTGAATCCTACTTCTACGGCTTACTAGTATTCTAATAAAGACAACAACACCATCTAATAGTATGAGCAGTCTTTTTTTTTTATAGATTTTCATACAGCATAGTTAGTAGCATTGCATACAAACATTTGGTTTATCAGTGCAAAAAAGAACATATTGCAATTATATTAGATTTACTAACATTTTCTGAACTGCCCATTCCTTCAAAGACCCACTCAGGTTAGGATGCATTTCATTACATTTTGCTTAACAAGCTCCACTGAACAAAATGCCAGGAAAGAGGAAGAGATAAGCAAATTGATTTGTAGATCAGGTGAAGTGCAGTTTTTGTGTACTTGTCTATCTGCAGAGACTCAGGACTGTCTGCAATCTTGAATTATGTGATTCTCCACAGACTGACAGATCCACATGGAAATATTTAGGGGAATCAAACGTTTGTGATTTGATAGTTCTACCAACCCTATGAATCTCTGCACATTTCTTTAAACTGGGTCTTTGAAATGAACACACATTCTCCGAGCTAGTGTAATTCACACACTCTTTAGTAAATCACCATGCTAACAGATTAGATTGATAAAGTCTCCAACATACAGTTCTGCTCAGTACACAAAAAAAAAAACTGTATAGAAGTGAAAATATGAAAGTGATTAAGAGAACCTGTTAAAAAATCTGACAGCAGCAAGGTACAGGTACAGTGTGAGCTGAACATACAATTATTATAGAAAAATCGAATATTACAGTTTTATTTACATTTCCCTGCATTCGTCAAATGTGATAAAACCACAGTATTTAAAATGATATTGGTGTTTTCGCTTAGTTATTCTCGAACACTTGCTCAGTATTAATGCAGGCGTTAAAGCGGAACTAATCCCTTAAAAAGACACTGGCATATAATGAACAACATTAGTAAACAATGCCGACTTGCTTTCTGGCTTTATTTTAGGGACGGAACAGCTGTTTGCTCTGCATGTTACTTTGCTCACGGCATGCTGCCATATGCAGAGCATATCCAAGCCTGTATAAAGGAAATGGATAACATATGTTCATTTAGATTTACATTTTAAGACTCTGGTTTGGGCATATGATTGGTTAAAAAAAGGCTTCCAAGACTTCAAAAAAGATGAAGCGTGATTTTAAATGAAATACATATTCTAAAAGGAGTGGAATCTGATAGAACAGAAGAGTCACATGAGCAGCAGTACACGCCGGGTTGTTAAAGTCTCTTTGGGAAGATAGAAACACTTGTACGAAAGTGTACCGAGTCAAAAAGGAGCTTCAAGTTTTTGTGGGCTGCAGAAAGCAGATTATTTTTCCGGAGTCCGAAGTTCCGCCATTTGTCTTCTCACCAAGGCATGCAGGGGTGTGGACAGTCCCTGAGGTAGGCCTCAAACTTGTTCTCAGAAATCGACATCATGGCTGTGTATGTGGTAAGCTGCAAGGAATGCAACAAAACCAGAACATGAAAAACAAACACGCGACAAGACACAGAATCAGAGTTATACAACAGCAGTACAGAGACCTGGGGTGTTACGCATGGCGGACAATACAGCAAATGAGATTTTACTTTCTCACAAAGATTTGAAAAAGACAATTTGCCATTCATTGTTCTGGACAACTCCTCCAATGTTCTGTTTGGTTTTACATCACTCCAGCCCATAAACTCCCAATAAAGAAAACCATGTGAATACTAACACTCTTATCATACAGTTGCTGTTTAATTCTAGGTCTTCCAAGTGGACACTGCATGCATGTTTTGGATGAGAGGAAAGTCTTATATAATGCAGTGCAGGTCTGCCATCTACATTATCTGAAGGGTTCATATGCTTATCGCTTATCTTATTGTATATTATGAAATGGGATCAATAATAAAAAAAAAACAAGGTTCTCAGAGTAATAGATATGGGGAGCATCAGTTATAGACTACGTATGAACGTCTACCCACTTTCTACTCCATATTCTGTGGCATAATGTCAGTAAAAGACTGTACAAGTACACCTGGCCAGAAATAAAATGATTTAACTCAAGATCTCTTAGAGGGCCCTGGGAGCCCCATATAAAGTTCATTTATGCAAGTTCAGTCAATAGGATGGGTGTCCTCATGGACTAACATAGAATAGCACGAGGGGCAGGTCAAGTCTCAATTTTCTCATTGGAAGTTACAGTTTTCATAAAATCTGCTTTTTTAAGCTCCTGAGCAAGAAATCTGGGAGGTGAACCCAATAAAGTTCTAATAGCAGTTAAAGCACATTTGTCATTGTGCTATATTGCTTACAGGCTGCAGGGGGGACAGCAAAAATACTCTTCCAGGGTCCATGAATATTATACGAGGGCGAGTCAAAAATTATTTGCACTCCGATTAAAACTAATGTTGGCCTTATCAGGGCTTTCCGTCCAAGGCTTCTGTCTCCCCAGTCACTGCTGTACAGGTATGAACATGTTACGTCAGTTTATTTGTAACCGAGGTTCGAGAAAAAATTGATGCCCCACTTGTGATTTGCACAAAAGAAGAGCAGCATGCAGTGATTCATTTTTTGTGGTCTGAGGGTGCGTCTGGTGCCGTTATCTATCGAAGACTTTGTGCGCAGTATGGAGAAAGTGTTTTGTCACAAAGAAGTGTGTATGACTGGATAGAGAAGTTCAAGGAAGGTCGCACAAGTGTCATTAAGAAGCAGCTAGATGCCCATCTATGGCTCATGACAACATTGAGTGTACACCTATAGTTCTGATATTGCTCTATTGGACTTTCACCTGTTTGGTTCCCTGAAAACAGCCCTTCGAGGATGAAGATTTACATTTGATGAAGAAGTGAAGACAGTGGTGCCTTCATGGCTCGCAGCTCAGCCTAAAACATTTTTGTACTTGGCGATACTATAACGTATTCAATCTTAGTAATAATCTTATGTTAATCGCATTGATTGTCTGAGGCGTGTGTCCTACCATCTGTTCTGGTAGAGCCTGCAATGTTTGTACTTTCTGAATCTCTATATGCTAATAAAAATTTATTGAAATGAGAAAAGCAAGGAGATCATATTGAAAAATTATGTATTTGTCTTTTCTAAAAGTGGATTAAAATTAATTCTACAACCAGAGTGCGGTTAATTTTTGACTCACCCTAGTAGAGCCACACAGGAAAAAAAAACAACAAAAAGGGATACTCAGATGGACTTGCACAGAAGTGTTTCAGTATATTCTGATACAAAAGTACAAGAGGTTTACCTTGTTAAGAACAGGCTTAGTAGAAAGCACATCATAGATTGTTGTAAATGAAATGCTCTGCAGAGATAAATCAGAAAAGAAGTTACAGCATTATGATGATGGCATATTAAGACAAATCTGACTCTAAATGTCTGCTCCATCAAAGTGTATTGAAATTGTTTGGTGAGAACCTAAAACTAAGCATTTCTGACAACATCATGACACCTCTCAAAATGAAGGATGGGGGTAAAAATCACTCTTTGCCCCTTCCCCAAATTAGAAAAACACTGATTGGGCGCCATTAGGCTTATTTTGGGGCATGAATGCCATGCGAAAAATACAGAAAGCATACGTAAACCCTAGATGTCTTCCCCTTTCAGTCAGTTATATCAGCCATTGAAAGGTTGTTTGTCATAACTGTTCAATAAGTGCAAAAATACCTGTTCATCCTGCTAGAATTCCACTGACCTGGCAACTTCCAGTGTGCTCTCTGCCTGCCCGCTTCATTTATTGTTCCCAGTTCTCTCGATCAACTAATCACCTCCCTGTCTTATGCAAAAGATGCTGCTCCTCTCTCATATATATCAGGATACATTCTTTACTCCCAGGTCCAACATTTATGACACCCCACTCACCACCCCCCTAACAACTTTCTCTTGCTTTAAGTGGTAAACGTTGTCATGTTGATCAGTATTGCTTCTGACCTGAAGGAGAGGTTAACTCTCGAAAGCTTGTCTTTTATATATTTTGTTAGTCCAATAAGAAAGGCATCATCGCATACTGCAATACTCTGGTTTTTGTTTTTTTTATACATCTTCTCTATTGGACTAATACGGCTTATCCATTTACATTACACACATATATATATATATATATATATATAT